AGTGCGAGCCACAATGATAGCTCACCGCGGCCTCGAACTCCCGGACTCAACACATCCTCCTGGCCTCCTGCTTCAGCCTCCCAAAGTGCTGAGATGACAGGAGTGAGCCACCACAGCTGGCCCAGGATGGGGTCTTTGGAGCCAGCTTTCATTGGCTAACGCCTCTGAAGCTTTGTGAATGACAACGGGAGAGTGGCTTTGCCCTGGGATCACCAACTAGAGCCTCAACACTGAGGTGATGAAGTTATGACAAAAAGCACAGCTTTGGCTGGGCTTGTGATAAAACTCAACTAGAACAGGGAGGTGATAAGCCTCGGGCAGCTTTGATGGGAAGTAAACTCGGAGGTCACTAAGGTGTTGCGGTAAGAGTATGGACTTCGGAGTCATTGTCCACTCGGATTAGCTGAGCAAACCACCCAGCCTCCCGGAACTGGGAGCTTTGTGAAGTGGGGCTGATGACAGTACCAAACAGAGCTGCTGTTTAGGAGGAAAACGCGGGCCTGGCGTGTGCTTAGCGTAATGTCAAAGTGTGGCACTCAGGCAGGGGCTGAGAAAGGGTAAGGCTGCTCCAGGGCCTGCTGGCTGCCTGACTCCCATCACCTGCAGAGACCTGCAGGGCCTGTTCTCCCTCTGGAAGTATCTATACGCGTCCGGGAGCGGTGGCTCACGCCTGTAATCTCAGCACTTTAGGAAGCCAAGGCGGGTGGATCACTTGAGGTCAGGAGTTTAAGATCAGCCGGGTCAACAAGATGAAACCTTATCTCTACTAAAAATACAAAAATTAGCCGGGTGTGGTGGAGCACCTGTAATTCCAGCTACTCGTGAGGCTGAGACAGGAGAATCATGTGAACCCAGGAGGCAGAGGTTGTAGTGAGCCGAGATGGCACCACTGCACTCCAGCCTGGGTGACAGAGCAAGACTCTGTCTCAAAAAAAAAAAATCTATATGCACCACATCTGTGCTTGACAGCTCTGCTCCCTCCTGAGATGTGGAATACTCCAGGCTCCCAGGTCAGGACATCTGTTAGGCCCTGAAGATCACACAGTCACACGGGATACTACATGTCTGAAGACCCACTGGGTATCAAAAAGCCAGTAGGTACAAAGAAAAGGGAGAGAAGATGCAATCAGGGGCCTCCGTGATTCTTCTGTGATAGCTCATGAGGTGCCACTGCCAACTCTCCTATTCATGGGCGCAAAGTGCTCCTAGGAGACAGCCACAGGCAAGCGAGTGGAAACTACACACGGGTTCAGATCTCTAAATATGTGAGTAAACGTAACAAAAAAGGTTAAGAAAACATGCTTTGCAAAAGACAAAACGGAGCCTGAATAATTTCTTTCTTTTTTCTTTTTTTTTGAGATGGAGTCTCATTCTGTAGCCCAGGCTGGAGTGCAGTAGTATGATCTGGGCTCACTGCAACATCACGTCCCGGGTTCAAGCGATTCTCTTGCCACAGCCTCCTGAGTAGTTGAGGCACCAGCCACCAGGCCTAGCTAATTTTTGTATTTTTAGTTGTGATGGGGTTTCACCATGTTGGCCAAGCTGATCTTGAACTCCTGACCTCAGGCGATCTGTCCGCCTCGGCCTCCCAAAGTAGTGGGATTCCAGATGTGAGCCATCATGCCTGGCCTGGCCTGAATAATTTCTTAGAAAGGGTAAATACACATGTGAACAAAGAAGAACCTGCACCAAGAATTTACTTTTTTTTTTTTTTTTTTTTGAGATGGAGTCT